GATGGCACCTTCTTCCCTTCCCTTCTCAATGAAATGTCAGCTGTAGTAGGCTGCTTTAATGAACGTGCTCAGAAATTGCTTGAGATTCATTTGGCTTCTGGCTTTTCAAGTGCTTTATTGGTTTAAAGGCAAGATTCAAGGACCCATGTTGCCTTAATTCAAGAAGGCAAGGACTTGGTTAACTATGCACTAATTAATGCCATTGCAATTCGAAAGATACTGAAGAATATGATAAGGTATATTTTATCCCATTTCGTAAAGTGGATTTAGTAAAATTATTCTGTTTCTGGTTGTGATATTAATATTAAATTTTGTATGGTGCAGGTTCACTACTCTAAGCAAGGTCAGGCCTTCAGGTCACAAGCTCAAAGTATGCATATTGAAATTCTACAGTCACCTTGGCTGTGTGAGCTTATGGCTTTCCACATCAATTTGAGGAAACAAAAGTCAACTCAAGGAAGGCCCCGCATTTTTTGAAGGGTGCTATCTCACATTAGTGACAGCAAACCTTCGCTCTCTTGCGAACTCTTTGATTCTGTCAAGCTCGATATTGACTTACTTGTCTATTTGCTTGGTAAGTTCCTATTTCATTTTTCTAGAGAAGGTATTATGCATACACAACGCATAGAAAAATTGTGTACTATCCAAACTTCAATGAAGCCATCATCAGAAAGTTGGAAGACATATAGGATGAGTTTTAGAAGCTAGCTACTATTTGTTCATTACATATGCCCTCATGGTGCAAGGTCTATGTCATCATCTATTTCACTGTGAAAACTGGAAGATTTAAGGATATTTTGGCCAAAAATAATAATAATAATAATAAATAAAGTAATTTGTAGAAAAACAAAAAAAAGAAGATTTAATATTGTGGTTCAAAATATTGGCCTTAATACACTACAGAAATTGATTAGAAATAGATTTTTCAATTTTGGTCCGTTTGTATATTTACAAATGTTTTGTTGGCAGTAAGAACCGAGGTTTCTGTTTCTAACTCTGGGTTCTAGTTGTGCAATCTGGTACATCCAAGATCATCAAAATTGAAAGATATCAACTTTGTTGTATGACAGACATTGATAACTTTACTGTCATTTTGCTTCAGTATGCTTTTTTCTTGAACAGGACACAGTGTTTGATCCAGTTTCTCTGACATGCGGTCATATATCTGCTACATGTGTGCTGCTCTGCGGCATCGTCACCATTGTTGATGGACTAAAGGAAGCAGATTCTAAAGAAAAATGCCCTTTGTGCCGAGAGGTAACCTTGAAGATTTGGTTCACAATTAGAATATAAATCAAGTGCTTATTGTTTATTCTAATTAGATTGATTTTGATTTCAGGCAGAGTATATAGGTGCTGTACACTTGGAAGAGCTTAGTATCCTATTAAGCAGAAGGTTTGTTTCCATTTCTATACTCTTAATAAAAGATAGTCAGTTTGATGTGATTCTTGTTATTCTTAATCTATTTGATTTTGCTCATGGGGAGATTGGGTGGCGGTTCAAGTGGAAAGAAAATTAAAACATGTTGCTAGTTTTTGCACACCTTGCAAGTTTCTTATATCTATCATGCTTATTCTAACAGCTGCCCCAATCCTGGGAGGAAAGGCTTCGAACAGAAAGAGTGGAAAGGATTCGGCAGACAAGGAGCATTGGAATTCCAGTGTCGGTCATTTGTGGGCGTCTAATTAGGCAATTCTCTCTCTTTGGTTTTAGTGCAATTTGTATATATTATTCATGTAGAAGAGCTACCCTGTTTCTAAGTTTTGGAAAAGTGTTGAATTACTGTCAGTCATTAAAAAAAAAAAAAAAAAAAAACTTTAATGGTAGAATAGGTTACTTTTTGATGCACCGGGTTTGGTCGAGTTACCATAAGTTTCAACTCTCCATAATTTATTCTATATATAGATCGGCAATGCCCAATGGAGTAGTTTTCAGTGAACTTATAATTCCTATATCAATATTGTGTATAATCTCTAGAAAACTTGCCTTACCTGCAAAAAATTAAATTTTTATACAGAAAACACATTCAAAATCTCATTGGAAAATTTTAAATGTATAGATGAATCCTGATACATACAGATCCTTTATCAAAATAAAACTCCTAATAAAATGCAACCTAATTACATTGAAGTCCTAATTGCATTTTTATCTTGAATTCAATGGATAACACCTATCAAACGGCGCTCTACAATGTTCTTGAATCCACTCAGATACTTGTTGGTTAATAACAAGTGCTCATTCTCAAATTAATATATAACTTCTTTCTTGAATCCAAAACCACCTTTCTTTATATTTCTTCCGCCTATACTCAGTAAAATTTCTCTACATACAATCATCATGTTCTCCGCAAAATCAGTTCGAAGAAATTTTTGCACGCTCATGAAAAAGTTAGGGTTAACTGATTCCAAGAATTCGTACAAAAATTTGCGACTGTTGAGGGGTCCAGGAATCATTCTGGTCAAGAGGTTACATAGTAATGTACGTGGGTGAAGAGCTTAAGAAATATCAAGTTCCGCTCAAGTATCTGTCGTTGCCCAAGTTTCAAGAATTGATAATGCAGTCACAGGGGGATGATCTTGATGTTAAAGTTGACGGCCCAATTACTTGCTTGCACAACTGAGACTTTCGACAAATTACTCAAGCTCGCCAAGAAGTGCAAACTGACGGTGCTGTGTAGAAAAGTATGATTTTTTCGGTTAGCCAAAATCAAGATTGATCCAAACTTCACTGCTATTTCTTTCGGGTGTATAATTTTGGCCCAACCAAGTAACATTGTTTGATAATCCATTACTTAGATTTGTGATTAGCATGTTCTAACTTGTTTAAATCTTTCTTATGCATCTTTATATTTTGTTTTCAAAAACTGTACTCATATTATGAATCCATACCAGAACAGTAACTTTAAGCATCATCATTCATTCTTGTTGAAATCGTGATTAAGGTTATAATTGGATTGAAGAATACGTTTATAGGTTTCTTATTCAATTTTTTTTCCTTATCTAAGAAACGGTGATGGTTGTAAAAGGATATCTAATTGGGATTGAAGAGACTAATCCATGTAATTACCCAAAGAATTAAGATTCTAATCATGCGTGATTGAGTTTATGTATAATTGAGATTTGTTTCCTTTGATATCCTCTTTTATCTACAACCTAAAATGCGATCCCTATCCCAACAGATTCCCATGGTAATGGTATCTCAACAGAAGATTCTCATGATATCTCTCCTCAACGGCAATAACGATAATGGTATCCCAACAGATTAACATGATAATTTCCCCTCACCGCTACAGCTCAAGCCTATACCGCTTCCTACGGATAGAGAAATTCAAAGGCAGGGTAGTCTGGTTATAGATAATCAACAATGCTACAGGAATCGGTGATTTTATACCGAAATTTTGTATCGGCTTACGTATATACTGACTCAGACCAATCAACGCATTTTATCTTATTAAATTTTTTCTAATGAACGGCCGTTCATAACATATGAACAGCCATTCACTAACATGGACTCCCATCCATATTATATGGATGGGAGTCCATTTACTAGGGACGGGCGTCCTCATTTAGAGGATGCCCGTCTATTGGTAAATGAAATGAAAATTTAAAAAATAATATGGAATGGACGTCCGTCCACAATGAATGGACGCCCGTCCATTGTGTAAGGACGGTCATCCGTATGTTATGGACGGGCGTCCATCTAATTGTTTTGTTTTCACAGACCCATCTCCTCTCCATTTCTTCGTCTTCATTGCCAGTGGTGCAGTCCATTTCACTGCCTCAAATAATGACTGTGGTGTCAGAGATTTTGACATGGAAAAGTATCAACTCTCTAAGCATTTCCGTTTTCCTTGGCTTCATTTTCTGGGCTTTGTGCTTCATTTTCTGGGCAATATATGAAGCACTTGCAGGCTGAAGCTTTCAATTGAATTTTTTAAACGTTTGTTTTTTCCAGAACTGTTTCTGCGGATTAGCAGGTTTGGGAAAACTACATGGATAAGTATTTGAGTGGAAAAATAAGCATCTTTCATGCATGATTCTTTAACGTGGACAATGCAGAAGTAAATGAATATGTTTAGGATGTTTGACATTTTCTTATTTATTAATATCTATCTTGTTGGTAGATGAAGGTGTTGGATCATCTGATGAAGATTATAGTGGGGGTGAGAGTGAGGCTCCTGAATGTTCCCGGACGCCACCCGTGGACCATGAGCTTAAGGACAAACTCTTCCGTAAATATGGTGGTTATATTAGCACCTTGAAGCATGAGTTTTCTAAGAAGAAGAAAAAGGGAAAACTACCGAAAGAAGCCAGGCAAATCTTGTTTGATTGGTGGAGTGTCCACAACAAATGGTCTTATCCGACGATATAATTTTTCCACAGTTTTATCAGATTAACTAAGCAGTTGGGCATGAAGCAACAACTGGAATCTGAGAAAGCGAGGAAGAGAAGAGGTGTTTAAAATGGTTTTTTTTTTAAAGTACGGACGTCAAAATGTAAGGGACGAGTATTCATTCCTAATGGACGCCCGTCAAAATGTAAGGGACGAGCATTCATTCCTAATGGACGCCTGTCCAAATGTACCGGACGCCCATCCATAAAATTTGGACGGGCGTCCATTGTTTTTTTTTTTTAAAACAAAATATTTTTTTATGGACGGTCGTCCATTCCACTATGAACGACCGTCTAGGATGTATGGACGACCGTTCGAAATCGTTGGACGACCATCCATTTATATCAGTATTCAATCGTCCAACGTGAAGGCCTCCACGTGTTTCGGTGCAATTTTTCAGTGGATATAGCATTTTTCTATAGATAATATCTCACAGTTACAGGCACAGCCAGTTAAATTTAAGATCAGTTTAACATAGGAGTGAATCTACAGGCTCAGACATACACGGATGGCAACTTCACTCCGATATAGAAAGAGATTATGAAATGTAACACATGCCCAGAAAATTAGTACACGGACAAGTCAAGCAAAACCATGGACAAAGGTAATTGAACATCCATAAATAACAAATTTTAATTAAAGTGAAAGGGTTTAAGTAACATTGTTGTTCTACAATCTCCCAAGACGCTCCAAGCAAAACTGAGTTATTCTCAATTAGATAATATCAAGGGGTTTTTATCCTTATACATGTGATATCTCTTGCACAATTTCTCCAAAGTAGCAACCGAATGCTGCATAGAATTTAGTTTTGTATCCATGAACATTGCCTGCAAAAAAAAAATCAAAGGTAAGTAGTAAAACAAATAAGAAAATAAAAAATCATTAGAAATTCTAAAATTAAAGTAAGAAATCAAACCTGGTAGTCATCTCCATATCTCTCGACCAGCCGACCAATATGAGCGCGTTGTATAGTGGTTAAAGGCTGCAAAGGTGCCCTCTTCCCATCTCTTCGCTTCTTTCCAAGTGCTGATTTCACATCTATTTTGCCAAAGATATAGCATGTTATCAACAGTTATCAAATCAGGATCACAAGAATCCAGCAAGTGCAATTTCACATAACCTCTAAAAATTATAATTTACAATGTCAGCAGAAACTCAATATACTGTATTTGTTATAGAGATGCAGACCAAGGCAAAAGAAAAAGAAAACCAATCCCAAACACAATAAAGAAACCAACAAACTTAGTCAACCACAGACCAAAATAAAGTTGAAGATCATTTCATCTTGTATTAGCCAAAAAGAATTCCGTCTTTTATATAGAATTGAGAAAAGATTGGCATTATCGATTTCATTTAGAACCCAGTGCTTTCATACAGGTTCATATCCATTAATTAACCAAACAAAACTAACAGAGACACAGTAAAATGAGCAAAACAATCAAACTTTCGAAATTAAAAGTAAATTCTTCATCATATCAAATTGGACAACAGCTGCTAGCAAAAATTGCATGAGCAACTTTCAATTATTTCAGTCAAAGCTTCTACCAGATAAAAATTAAAATGCATAATAAGCATCGTACCAACGTATATTATAAATTTATAACTAAATGACCACAAAGAGGGAAAAAAATAACTAAAACCAAAAATCATCCTAGCTTAATTACGTAGTTTAATCTAACAATTAGTCCAAATTAAAACATAAGAATTGAAGTACAACTATAGAGAGAGAACTGACCGTCTTCTTCGAGATCGCTGCCGGAATCAAGGGGCGCGAACTCGTCGACGGGTTCATCAGAAGGGGGAGGCATCTGGAGGGAGTCGCTTTCGACGACTTGGGAAGTGCGGGAACGGACTCCAAGCAAGTTGGGATTGGAAACGAAACCGAATGACTGGTAGTTTTGAATAACGCTGGCTTTGTCGTCCCATTCGGGAAGCTCATCAACGAGAGAACGAAGTTTTGGAGGGAGAGAAAAGGCTGGCTTGAACGCGTGTGGGTTCTTCTTTGGGAGGCCTACTCGAACCTTCGTCCTCGAATTCTTGTACTTCCTTCTTGACCTGCCCATCACTCTCTATCTCCCTCTTTGCTTTCTAGGGTTTTGCTAGGGGTTTATTGTGTTTCCAGCAGTAATTACGAGTTTAAAACGGTGCAGTTTTCTGCCTTTTTATTGGTACATAACGGTGTTACTATTTGCAGAGTATAAAACGGTGAAAGGGAGATGCGTTTTGTGAGAGGTGGAAAAGCAACCCGCCCGGCCCAGCCCGCGGCGGTTTGCTGTTAATGGCGGGTCGGTCCTGACCCGCCCGGTGACATTGGCGGGCCGGGTTAGGCCCGCCAATATTAAGGAATTGGCTGGCGCAACCCGAACCGCCAACCCTAACCCGCTGGGTTAGACGTGGGTTAGGCCGGGTTAACCCGCATTTTTTATTTTTTATTTTGTTTAAATTTAAATGTTTAATTAAATTTTCAAATGAATAATTAACAATTTATAAATAAATAAATGTAATTATTTTTATTTAATTGTAAACTTCTTTTCAAATATCAATAATTAAACTAAATTAATTTTTTGTTTGTTAACATTCCAAATATTAATTCAATTTTAATACATTAAAATTGTAATATAAGAATAATTAAATTTATTCATTTATTAAAAAATAAAATAAGAAATTACAATAATTATTGCCTCCTTAAAAACCTTATCAAGAAAAACCCAATAGGACAAAAACTTGGTAAGGAAAAAAAAGTGCAATAATTGACAATTAATTTGTCAAGTTACAATTTACAAAACAACTAATTTTGGGGTTCACTAGGACCTACATCATCAGTATCATCTATATTACAAAATTGAAATGATTCTATTAAAGTATCGTCGACAACCTCGTATTGACCTTGATGGCGCGACCGTTCCCAATCTCGAAGACATGTGAGGACTTCAATCAATTGTGGTGAAAGTTTAGTCCTCCTTTCATTTAAAATTCTTCAACTTGCACTAAATGTTTGTTAAGATGAGACGGTTGAGACAGGAACAGCTAAAACATCCAAGGCAAGTCTTGATAATACTGGAAAAATATATTTCCTGGCTCTCCAATAGTTTAAGAGATCAAAGCTGGCTCTCTGTTGTGGATCTACTGGTAATATTTCAGGGGTTACCAAATATTGTTGAAGCTCATTACTCTGCGACTGCATGGAAGACAGTACATCAGTTGTTGTTGTTGGTGGAGCTTCTAAAGAGGAGGTTCTGCTTCAGATTCAGGTTCTCTTCGGCCTATTCCGTGCACCCCAACAGTAGAAGTCTTCATTTGTTTCTTCTGATGCAGCTTCCCTAGATGTTTCGCCTTTTTGCGGGTTTCCATACCTGTTTTCATACTAGAAATATACTTCGAAAAGTGTATTTTTTATCTCTCCTATTTGATTAGCATATGCTTCGATTTGTAAATTTTCACATAAACTGTCAAAACCATTTTCTAAACCGGCTAATTTAATTCTATGATAAAATATAGCACCTAAACAAGAAAGAAAATGAATGGGTTCCCAATATTTAAAAAAAAAAAATTCCATTGCCTTTATTGGTGCATTTAAAATTACATTGTCTTTGTTTTTTTATAAATAACTCAGAAATTTTTATAATTGTATGTATTACCAATGGACTAGTAGGATAATACACATCAGAAAGTTGTAAAGTGGATTGGTAAAAAGTTTTAAGAAAAGAATGAAATACTTTAGTTATATGCCAATAATTTTCTACCAAATAATGAGGACCTCTATTATTTGCTACAAAATAACTAATTATATTAGCATAAGGTAAACATGAATCAAGCATTAAATAAGTACTATTCCATCTAACAGGCATGTCTAATGCAAAAGTTCTAGGAGACATATTTGATTTTATACAAGCGTCTTGAAATTCAGCATTTCTTTTATTACTACTAGTAATCCAAGCTAAACAATCTCTAATTCTATTAATATTTTCTTTAATTGTTTTCATACCACTTTTCACAATTAAATTAATAACATGGCATGCACAACGTTGGTGAAAAAACTTCAAATTGTTATATAAAGGATAATTACTTTGAAAATAATCTATAGCTTTACTATTAGAACTTGCATTATCTAAAGTTAAACTTATCACTTTACTAACAATATCATAATCTTCTAAAACTTCAACAATTTTATTATAAATTTGTTCACCACTATGATCAACATCCATTAATCTAAATCCTAATAAAGATTTATTTAATTTAAATTCATTATCAAAATAATGACTAGTCACACAAATATAATCTTGTTTAGCTCTACCACTCCAAATATCGGCAGTTAAAGCCACACTAATATGACAAGTATGAAATTTATTTTTTAATTCTAATTTCATTTTTTTAAACAATTTTATTAAATCATTTCTAGTTGCAGTTTTAGAATAACTTTTAAATCCTGGAAAAAATGAATTTTGAACAAATCTTTCAAAATATTTATCTTCAGTCATATTAATAGGTTGATCAGTTGCAGCAATATATAAAGCTAACTGTTCCCTATATACATCAGAATTATAATGACAATTAGCACCCATATTAGTTATTTGAGTTTGATTGCTTTCTCTATTTCCATGTTAATTAATATGTTTATTAGCATGCATTTTTAAAGTACTAGTACCGTTACCTGAATCAGCTTTATAAATATTTCCACAGTATTTGCATTTCGCTTTCTTGACTTGAACGTAATTTTCTGTCTCGTAAAACTTGTTGAAATACGCCCAAACGTCTGATGTGTGTCTGTCTTCACTTTCGACGGCAATTGATGATCCCGCCTCAGCTTGAGATGAAGTTGGACGAGCACGACGATTACGAGGACGACTTCTAGAACCACCGGGAGCTGTTGGAATCGGGGGCATATTTTGAGGTGTATCGGATTCTGAGAATGGGAAAGCGGAACTATTTGAATCTCCTCTTGCATTTATGTTAGTAAAATCAGTGGGACTAGGACTATGATAGTAGTTTCCGTCATCATTGTGATTGATGGGAGAGAAATATCTATCCATTGTAGTTGAAAAAAATTGATGTAGAAGAAATAAAAATTAAAGAAAGAGAATTGGAATATGGAATATGGAAATTGGAATTTGGAAAATTGGAAATATGAATTAAAAATTGCAAAACTAATAAAAATTAAAATACGAGCAAATTGATAACAAAGAGATTAAGAGAATAAATGAATAATTGAGAGATTAGAGATTAGAGAATATGAGAGAATTTGAGTTGTGAGAAAAATGTGAGAGTTTAGGGCCAATTTATAGGAAAAAATGGGAAAGAAAAATGACGAAAAAGATCCATCCAACGGCTATATTTCAAGGGTAAAGGGGTAATTTGAAAAATAAAATATTTTTTTATTTTTTTATTTTTTTCGGCCAACAGCCAACCCGGCAGGTTGACGGGTCTCTTGCAAAAGAGCCAAAACAGCAACCCGCCGGGCTGCAGGTTGCCATTGTGCAACCCGGCCCGCCCGGGGGTTGCTGCCGGGTTAGGGTTGACCCGCCTAACCCGGCCCAAATGTTCCACCTCTATGTGAGAGAGGTTAATCTTAAAGTTGATGCCAAAAAGAATAAGCGCGTGTCGATTACTTGTACCTTCCACGAGATATTTTATCCTTCAATATTATTTGGCATGTTTGGTTTATTATTTTTATCCATATTCTCAATCCTATTCTCTAAATAATGTTTGGTACATTATTCCAGAAATATTATCCTATTTTTTTAATTACTTTTAGACCCCATAAGGTTATTAATTTCATGAAATACACCATGAAAAAAAGTTTAAAAATTATTAAAAATACCCCTGCGACCCATACTTGCCAGATTCCGGCAACCACTATTGGTGGTAGCCGGAATCTGTACAACGGCCTACCTGCCAACCAAAAATGGCCTGAAGTTCACCGATCTGGCCGTGAACAACGGCCAAAGAAATGGCCGTCGTTGAGGTTAACGATGGCCAAATCTTGGCCATCGTTGATCGAAAACGACAGCCAAAGATGGTCATTGTTTTGGCCTTTTCCGACCGTCGCGGCCACAACAGGCCGTAGATCTAGCCTTTTCCCGTCAGATCTGTGGTGGATCTGGCCAAAAAAGGCCATAACGACGCGTTACGACATAGATCCGACCAGTCTGTGTGGTAACACGATTTTCCGGCCAGATGCCGGCGGTGGTGGTTGGAATCTAGCACTGTAGGTGGTGGGGGTGTTTTTGTCATTTTATATATTAGGGTATTTAATTAAATTAGCAAACCTATGGGCTTTTTCATAAATTTTTAAATTTTACCTCGTAATACTCCCCTATCCAACTACCCAATATTATTTCCAAAATCCTATCCAAAATAATAAACCAAACGATTATTATTTCAATAATATTTTGTTTACTAATCATACAAACCGAAAAAAATTATATAAAATAATTATTCTATCTTTTATTTTTTTATCTACTTGTATGACTTAGTTGTAAATATAACATTACTCTTATTATTTATCTCATATTTTTATTATAATTATTATGATGAGGTTGCGACACAACTTAAAAAACTTAATTTGTATCCTTAAATGAAAATAATTACCTTAAATTTGGAATCTAAATTATGGTTGTACAATTAAATACTATAAATCAATTTATATAAAAAGTATACAATTTAATGAAATAATAAAGTATATCAATTTATATGAAGGAATTTACAATATTCACATGCCATGGTTATAAGTTAGAGGAGAATTTAAATCTATTACCTCTTGAACCCGAATTTGTCTTATAAAATAAAATGTTGGTGGCAGATGGATCAAGGCAATAACATCCAGAAGAAGAAAATAAGCATTAATTAAGAAAGGTTTATTTACGTTGCTACAGTTGGTCTCCCCCCTTTCTGAGGAAGGTGAATAACATTACAAATTTCAACTATGACATCAATATATATTTTAAAATTTAAAGTACACGTAGACCTATGAATTATTATTAAGTTCCAATGCGGGTCCTGTCTATCTGCCACAAGTTATGGTTAATATTAGCGACAGGAAAGCTTTGCTTTATAATCCTGCTGATCGATTTGCATACTCCTGAACCAATGACCCGAATCTTGAAGGCCTCTCAAGCAAACGGGATGGCATATCAAATTCTTTTGCCCATCCTGTATAAGACGAAACCAATCCAAGGGCATTTTAATAGAGATATATGCAGTCTCAATATGATATTGAATGAGGTAAAGAATTTGTGTAATGAATAATGGTTAAATCATGTGAGGCCACTCTACTAATTGCCAGAAATGCATCATCCGAATTGAATGCAGTGGGAAAAGGAAAGATCAAATGGCATTGTGCGATCCAAAATAACTTAATGAAAGGAGTAAATTGCTGTTAACCAAAAAGGAATGGAGAGAAGCACCCACCTGCATCTATTACTAAAACCCTATCACAATCCATGACAGTTGGTATTCTGTGAGCGATGCTGATAATTGTACAGGCCACAAAATCCTCTCTAATGATCTTTTGAATTACAGCGTCAGTTTGTGAATCAACAGAAGCAGTAGCCTCATCCATGAACAAGAGCCGGCTGCGCTTTAGCATAACCCTCCCCAGACACAGGAGCTGCCTTTGTCCCACACTCCAGTTGTCTCCGTTATCAACCACTAAGGAATTGAAACATTTGTTAAGTTAATGCAGCTAACAAGTATCAATAATGCTACTTTCATTTATTTAATTTATTCAAAAAGGATATAAGAGAATGAGATAAATATGGAATTTGAGGAGTTGAATAAGAAAAAGGAGAAAATCAGTTACCTAAAGAATCAAGTTTATCAGGTTTTGCAGCCACAACATCTTTAAGTTGGCAACGCTCAAGGCTCTACAAAAATCAAATTATTTCAGCTAATACAATTAATAATAAAATTTAAAAAGATTACACATGTGGCAATGAATATCACAAAACAGGAATGGCTTGTTTACCTTCCATATTTCTTCATCTGAATGCTGACCAATTGGATCAATGTTGCTTCTCACAGTTCCTTCAAAAAGGACTGGTTCTTGAGGAATGATCCCAAAGCGAGACCTAAGGTTATGAAGCCCCAGAAAGGAAATGTCAATACCGTCAATAATTATTCTTCCCCCGGAAGGTTCCACCAGCCTAAAGAAAACTTGGATCAAAGTTGACTTCCCACTTCCAGTACGACCAACAACACCAATCTTCTCTCCCCCGTGAATGCTGAGAGTAATGCCTTTGAGAACCAGAGGAGTATTGGGACGATATCTTACCTGTTTGCAAAATTTTCAATGCATCAGTATTAAATACAGTTATTTGCCCCGACTGTATTCAGGATGTCAAGTTCAATGGTATCGAATGTTTATTTACTTTATATTTGCTTGCATTCAGTCAGTTCTCTGCTCAATTCCAATAAATCAACAATTTCGTGGAATTTTCTTCATAATTTATGTTGGCAATTAGCCAGTTCATTTGCCTATGCACTACAGCTATTTATTATTAATCTTAATAGCAACTTATGAAACAAAAGAGAATTTAAATTTCAAGGAATCTTTTTTTGTTAGAAAATAATCTTAAGAACCAGTTACCTGCAAGTCTTCGAGGTCAACATTGCCACGTGCAGGCCAATTTGGAGGAGGAAGACGATCTTTAATCTCCCAAGCTGCTTCTGATGGGATGTTTGTGAATTGCTTTATCCTCTCAACAGATACCATCCGATTTTCCACAAAGCAACTCATATATATGGCCCAGAACAGCACAGCATTGAGGGACAGCCCGTACGAGAGAGACAAACCAATATTCTCTACATTTAATAGAATTTGTCAATTTTCCAATACAAAAATTAGTAAAACTTGAGAGACACGACGAAGTTTCATTCATTTACCATAAAAATCAGGCTGGTCTGGCCAGACAAAATTATGAATAAACGGATTAATGTTATTCTTTTTCTGATGACTATGCTAGGTTGTGCTGAATAAATTAAAGTGTCCTCATAAACATGTAATTTACCTGGTTTTATAATGCTACTGGGTAACAAGATCATAAACAAAGTGGCAACGCAGAAAGTGAAACTTCCCAACAGTTCCAGACGGAAACCCAACCATTCATTTGATCCGTTGTTGTGGAAATCCATACACAAATTGGCATTAACTCGGTTAACATTTTCCTGACAAAATTCATGCTGCTTTCCGAAAGAGCGAATGGTCATAACTCCAGAAATGCTTTCTGAAAAGTGATGAATAACTGGTGCCTTGGTTATTGAGTCGAGCCTAGTTATTTCCCGAGATGTTGCAAGGTAATATCCCTAAAACCCAAAACAGAAAAAAAAAAATAAGTCTAATGAGTTTGATCTTGCTTCATTTCTGGTACAGATGTCATGTTTATTATCATCATATCCGAAGATTCTGATTCTAAATTCAATAAAAACAATTAATTACACAATCTCAAAGAAACACAAAGTTCATACCCGATACCAGTAATTCACCCAAGCAAGTGGTATTAATAAGAATACTGTTGGCCAAGCATATTGACACGTGATTATGAAGATACTAAGCAGTGTGATGTACATGGCAATTGTAATGCCAATAAAGAGCGGGAGGAAAAGATCAATGTTGGTTTGATCAGTCGATGCCTGAAAACAAAGAAAACATGAGATCATTTGTCATGTACTAAAACGAAACTAGAATGGAGAATATTCCTTTGATTATTGACTTCTTACCCGACTTAAAATTCTTCCTGAAGGTGTGGTATCAAAAAATGACATGGGGGCATGCAAGATACTTTGAAGAATTTGGCCAAAAAAAATTTGGGCCGTCTTGAGCCCCATATGCGTAACAAAAAAGGATCTCACCACTAACATCAGAATTGACACAGCTGCAATAATTGCATAGACACTAATGAACATGGAAGGATTAAATGACAGCGCACGGTCTGCTGCTGTTTCATATGATAACCAATAATCACCAGCCATTATAGACCCTTGCCACAACAGAGAAAATAGCAACACTGCTATTACACCCCACCATCCAAATGCCTCCGTGCAGTATATTTTATATACCTGCAAGCTAACTTTACCGGTTTCTCTTTCTTCCTCATTGATTAGCTTAGAAGTTCCCTTGACAGAATTTGACCGTTGTACAAGCTTATTCTCACCATTTGCTTCCCCATGGTTAGGAGATTTTGGTGTTTTGGGGGAATCTGCACCAGACATGGTTTTTCCAACTTCTACAAGTTCCATAGATGTTTCATGAGCAGCTACTAATGCTCCAAAATCCATACCAGAAGTTACTAGATCATTGTACTTTCCTGATTGCACTATCATCCCATCTCGCATTACCTGGAACGAACACAAATTTGTACATAAATTTGAACGTTTGTATGACAATTAGCTGTTGAGTTCGACTTTTCACCAGACAAGCATTAACTTGAAGATTGAAATGTGAAGATAGTACTTACCAAGATAAGGTCAACATTATGCAAGAAGTCCACTTGGTGCGTTACAAGTAATATGGTCTTGCCTTTGAGAACTCCTCTTACACATTGCTATAAGAAGGCAATAAAATGGTTTAAAAATTTTAAAAATTGTTCCCACAGATAATCAGAACTTTTGTATGGTTCTACTGAGTTCTCTTGAAAAAATAATTTACTCTGTTTTCCATATTAAACAATTGTGTTTCTGACTACTATGCAACCAAAAATGAATTTCCTTTCTGTGGATTTAAAATTTGAATAAACAATTATATCACCTTAAATATATCTGATCCAGTATGAGCATCCACAGCACTAAAGACATCATCAAGTAGGTACGTATCACAATCCTGATAAACAGCTCTGGCAAGTTGTATCCGCTGCTTCTGTCCACCACTGAGATTAATGCCACGCTCTCCAATTTCAGTCTGATCTCCATACTCCATCATTTCCAAATCTTTCTCCAGACAACAAACCCTGATAACTTCCCTGTATTTCTCCCTGTTCATCGGCAAACCAAAGAGGATGTTTTCTTGAATTGTCCCATTTTGAATCCATGATGTTTGAGCTACATAAGCAGTTGTCCCACAAACTTTGACCTGTTATCGAGAAGCATATTATTCTATTAAACAACCATTTCGAGCAATTCACTGTTTAATGCATTCTTTTCCTATGATGACAGTTTCAATGTTTGAGGTAAGAAAACATAGATACCTAATTAATGAAACAGAAAAAAGCAACTCAACAACTTGTAAAACAAAGTTCCTACCTTTCCTGATACTTTGTGCATCTCACCAAGAATAGAGGCCAAGAGAGAAGACTTTCCAGATCCCACGGTCCCAACAATAGCAGCAAGCTCCCCTTTCTTGACCGTCAAATTTATATTTTTCAAACATTCTTCTCCAATTTCATCGTCCCAACTAAACACCCCATCTTTTACCTCCACAGCGATTCTCCCGTCACACCCCTCCACTCTTTCCACCGAATCATTCACCAATTCCCTACTCATCATGTAATGATCCAATCTTCCCAGAGATATCATCGCTTGTGAAAGTGAGATCATAGATTGAGGGAAGGTCCTTATGGGCTCCTGCAAGATCTTAAAGATTGTTGTTGTGGTAAACACAGTCCCTGCATCCAGATGGACTCCCATGAAAATGGCAGTACCAAATGTAATAGTTGATATCAGCACTGGAGTGCACCACATCACTGCAATATTTCCAGCTATCGAGTACAAGAACTTGGATAGCCAACCAAATTCTGATTCACGGAGAGACTGGATTCTCTTATTGAAATGTTCTTCCCAAGCCTGGAACTTAATCACCCGCATGTAATTAAGCATCTCATTTGTTGCCTTCATTCTTGAATCACGTTTTTCCATCAAACTGAACTGGTACTTGTTTCTTCTTCGTGTGCCAAACACAACAAATATAAATACACCAACAAGTCCAATGACTGCTGTGATGACTGCGGCACCAAGATAGTTATATAGGAGAACCAAAGCAACACCAACTTGAAATGGCATTAACCAGATAGCATGTAGCTGTAGCATCATATCAGAAAGTTGCTGTGCATCAACAGCCATATAATTCACTATCTGTCCAACCCCATGAGCCTGCCGCGCAGAGCAGGATAGCCTCAGCCCTTTTTTGTATAAGGAAGTGATAAGAGTGGACCTAATGAGCATTCCAAGTTTCTGGGAGTTGAAGTTGAACTGGTGAGTTGATAGCACTTCTATAAATTTTGCAACAAGGAGAATCAACACAAGGTAGTATCCTTCATAAACTGAACTCCTTTTTCCAGCAGTGTAATCAACAAAACTTTGAATAAGAACAGGTCCAACGTACATCACACAGAGCCTCACAATTGCAAGGAATGCAGTGAATGCAACTTCCTTCCAAAAGCACCGCAACAGTGTGGTTCCAACCGGGTGCTTGGATTTTTCTTCTGGTTTTGGCCAATATAATTCAAAGAGCTTCGACATTCTTTCAGCTCTATGTTCCGGCGATAGTGATGGAACTTCTTCAATCTTGAGAGGGCGTTTGTAACCTTTAGTAAGCAAGGGATTCATCCAAAGCCAAAAGGCTTTAGATATTGCAGAAGCTGAAGCAAATCCACTTACATTGGATCTGCTCAAAAGAGGTTCGTATAATTTGGTTTCTTCATCCATTTCAGGTTCAGAATCTCTGGTCACTGTAATTCCAGTTGACCCTCTAATTGCAACAAATAGAAGGACAATCGAAAAGGGAAAAGACAGTATGGAAATTATATCATCCACTCTCAAACTGGGAAAAAGGGTTGCTTCAAAAGAGACCAAACGAATGATCCCCGAAACTGAGAATAGAGAAACAATGATGAAAAATGCAACCCAATAAATTCTAAGCGAAAGCGGATGAGTAACAGCTTCAAATCTTTTCTCGTGAATGATTAAGATTGCAATCACTGCATGAGTTATGGCTTGGACCAACAAAAATAGTGCATCAACTAGCTTCCATGGCTGTTCCGTGCTTCTAGTGAAAGCTAGAATGCAGATAATTGTGAAAGAAAATGCTAACAGAACAGTGACAATCAGAGAGAGTTTGAACCATATTGTAGTTCTGAGAACAACTCTGTTGTTTCTGATAAAGGGCTTGTTGATATCAGAGCTGGGTCGGCCATTGGCTATGAACCTCGAACGAAGCTTTTGAACTAAAAATACAATGAGACTGAGCCAGAACAAGAGGTTAACCGAAGATAACAGGACTCTTTGGGGACAGGGAGAGAGGAAAATGAATCTTAACCACTGAAATATCAATGGAAGAGATGAGTCTTTTGACGATTGTATCACAGAGCTTGAACATGAGAGGGAAAGGGTCCAAGATGTAGAAGACATGGTTCAAGCTTCACGTGAAATACTACAGAATGCGTCTCTCGTTGTTGATTCTCATCAATATCCTTCTTCTGTCCTGAAAAAATATCAGAATTATTTTCTTCAAAGAGTTCACGAAATTACAAAGCAAAAATATGTGATAAAAGGAACTCAAAGTCATAACTCATAAGAATCAAGGAATGCATTGTTGACTGTAAGATAGCCGGCACAAGTCGAAATAGCAAAAAAGAAGTCAAAAAGTAAATCATGTACCAGAGAAGTTATGAAAAGATTTCTGCCAAAACACTTCTCAATAAAGCTAAAATAAATTAATTTAATAGCAAGATGGATAATCCGGTCACAGAACGAGTAAATATTTTAGATTTTTAGTGTAAGATAATGTATTGGTCCAAGATGGCAGTTGAAACGCAGAAGATAAGAGATTCGTTAATCATTTTCCATCAAATAAAATTTATAGACATTCAACCTAACAAAAACAATGATCATTTGAAAAACCAGGACCATGTAAAATGAAAAAATGCTATTGAATGAACTCAATCATGATGAACTTAGCAAATCAAATATGGAAGAGCTTATTGACAAAAAGTGTTGGGTGAAAAGTAATCGAAAGCAGAGAAGAGAAGAAGAAACCATGCAAGGGCTCGTCAACTTACCAGAAGTTGAAGACAAACACTTTTGTTGGAAAGCTAAAGCATAGGGATTCGCAGTATGACATCAATCTCTGCAACGAAGAGAGTGTTCCTCGTTTCACCAAATGAAACGATGGACACTGCTAAGAAAATCCAACCAACAACTTATAAAAAGTTATATAAAATATAATAAAATTAAGAGAGACGTAATTTAATGACTTATTCAGAGCTTCACCTTCGCATAAAACGTAATTTCCTGAACCATTTCGCAGTAAAGACGTGGAAAATATGGTAAGAGCCACATACATACTACTGACTTGGAAAGACAGTGGCCTTTTTTATTAATTTATTCAAGTCTTCCTTTTTGTTTCTTTATTAATCTTTCAAGTGAGGCGGAGATCTAACCATTTGCCTTAACATAGCGCGTGAAACCACTTACCAGAAAACTGTGTTAGCCTATACCACCGGGTCCGGGAAGGTCAATTGGATTATGGATGAACGCAGAAAATGGCGCAACCGAGCACCACAAATTTGAAGTTTGAACCATGTCATGGGCGAGTTAGTAACGAGTATTTTGACTAGCGCGTGGGAAAAATAAGCTTTTGTTACAGAAATGAAGCGGAATAAGACAAATTGTATTGTGCATTGATTAAATAACAGACGGACGTCATGACACACCGCCAACCGTATTGCATGTCAACATCTTAGAGAGGTTTCTCTCCCGGAAGCTTCTTCGTATTATTGAGAGCTCGACTCAAATTGTATTATTGGTATTGTCATGTTATTAATTGGGCAGAAAAGATATCTGATGAGATAATAATGGCGCCATTGAAATTCATATATTCATAGTCACCATGATTTCTGATCAAATACGAAATGATAAAATTAAGTGGCAAAGGAAAATCAAAGTCATGATGTGGTTTTTTTGTTTGTTACAATTAGTCACTAATTGAAAATAGACATATGCAGAATGATCTCTTGGTTTAGAGATAGTTGCTTGCTTATGGAAATTTGGCAAATACTGTAGTGCTTCAATTTTCTTATTATATTTGTCACATGCAAATGTTAGCAACATACAACTTCGGCTAGCTCAGGCAGACTAGACACATCATAATGACTAATTACGTGTCAGATGAATTTCAATCCAACAAGTGAATGGCGTTCAATTCGGAGCAAAATTCTGCAAAAATTATGTTAAGTTGATGATTATAATGGAAAGTATTGCAAAACTATTTTGGGTGGTTGAAGAATAACGAAGATTGATTCATATTATTGATTGTATTATTTAATAAGTCTTAATTTCGAATTTTTTTTAGATGTTAATAGGATAGTTATTAAAGTTTTTATCCGATAATTTTAATGTCTCAGAAAAATTAACTGAAATAAGTGTAAACTAGTATAGACGCTTTCAATCATAAAAAATAAAAAGAGTATTAGAATTCATCTACATTTATGTTTCAAACCAAAATATTAATATTTATACATAAAGTGTATCTTTCACCGATCCATTGAAGTTAAATTATATATTTATCTTGATATATTTCATATACTGATTATATAATTATGTAAACAGCATATGTCCAAATGGACAACACTATATATATTTCATATAGTATGCATCTTTGGACGATGGACACATTATTGGATGCTTTATTCCTGCATTCTAACATATGTACATATATCTACTTGGATGATTGGATCCATCAACAATGAGTATGATGACATGTATAACTGAAGAAATTTAAGCACGATTAATTATATAGTTAGATAGAAAAATGTGGCTTTGATGATTTTATGGTTAAATATAATAATGTATATATAAAAAGCTTATTATTGTACTTAAAGCTTTTCCACCATCTCGATGCACCCGTCACTCCGTTTTCTGGAAATATTATTAGTTTGACAAATATAAAATTGTGAAAATTCAGAATGGTATTTATTTTTGTAGGACTATTAAAACATTCCTTAATTTAATACATTTCCCTAGGCAATTAACCCTTGGATACTTAACAGAGTCATACTCATACACCGCAATTATTGGCATTCAGTCAAACTGAAAAGGGACCCTATTGTCGAGCTACATACTGACATATAGGCCTGCCGTAGCCATTGACGGATTGACTTCTGTTAAATAGTTTAATGTATTTAGTATTGAAGAAAATGAATTCTGTAGTTTGGTACATAGGTTATTCAAATATAAATTTCAGTGGAAGGATTATTAACATTTTAAAATTAAAAAAAAAAATTGTCTAATCCGTTTTAAACTATTTTAACGTGCTATTCTTAATTTCAATTTATTTATTAAGAAAACAGTGTTCATATGCCTTTAAATGCACACAGATACCTATGATCAAACTTAATATAAGAAATAGATTTATTTATATTAATTTAATTTTTGTTGGAAAGTAAAAGGGTAATTTCATCTATGTCATCACTCAGATTCAGTCATTCTTGTTGTTCAAGAAAATCAGATTATTAATTCGTCATACATGACATCAGGGGTTACTCGACATGGAATTTTGCCAAGTAACAATCCGCCAAGGGATGGACAGATACGTATTGGACTTAATAACTTCATTAAAGAAAGAAGAAGAAACAAAAAGACGTAAAGCATTTGTTGTCCATTTTCTGTTTGGTTTTACCATAAAGACTCTGACTAAAATAATCAAAGAATGATAAACAAAAATGGGGAAAATGACTTATACCTATCCAGGGTTTGGCGAAACGCCATTGATACCTAAAAAGTTTTAAAATAACAAATAAGTACCTTTCGTTATGTACTATTAGTAATTTCTGTTTGTTAATAGTGAAAAGACTAGAATACCTTTGAAAGTTTGATATTTATGTTTTTTAAAAATTTATTAAAAAAACCCCATAGGTTTACTAATTTAACTAAATACCCCAATATATAAATTTTTTTATAAAATGACAAAAACACCCCTACCACCGTAGTGCCAGATTCCAGCCACCACCGCCAGAATTTGGCCAGAAAATTACGTTACACCACAGATTCGTAGGATCTGGTGGGTAGGGCCATAGATCTGGCCGTCAACGGCCGCAACACTCCGTCTACGATGGCCAAAGATGTGGCTGTCGTTGTCTGTCAATGATGGCCAAGATTTGACGGCCATTTCTTTGGCCGTCACTTTCCGGCTAGATCTGGCCTTTTACGGCCAGATCTACTGTGGATCTGATCGGAAAAGGCCAGATCGGTGAATTACCAAAAATATTCGGTGGTGGCGTAGACCGTTGTGACAGATTCCGGCTACCATCGGCGGTGGCCGCCGGAATCTAGCAAGTATGGGTGAGTGGGGGTGTTTTTGTTAATTTTTAAACTTTTTTCTGGGGGTATTTGATGAAATTAATAAACTTAAGAGGTCAAAAAATAATTAAAAAATAGACTGATATTTCTCAAAGGGTATTCTAGTCTTTTCACTATTAGCAAATAGAAATCACTAACAGAATATGACGGAAGGTATCTGTTTGTCGTTTTAAAATTTTTTGGGTATCAATCATTATTTCATCAAACCTTGGGTATGCGTAAGTCGTTGGGCCACAAAAAAGAGGACAGATCGGGGGTCCCCAGCCGCAATGGGTTTCTATTCATGAATATACAAACAAAATAAGCAGTCCCCACGTAATCGCGGTAATGCCTTAGAATCACAAATTTTTCTATCAACATTCAACTGTACCATTTACAGGAAGTTTACGTATCTGATCTAAATAATTTTAGGCCTATGAATTGGCAATTTCATGGCAAGAATTTCGTCTTTGGCAGCTGGGTTGAGATGAAAGTTGACTCCTTTGATTCATTCACTTTCGTATTAATAAAGGAGAAACAAACGTAGAAATTGTCATATGTCTGAGTTTCTTTCGAGACCTGTCACTATTATTTGATGCAATTTTCTTTGTGATCACTTAATAACTTGACGACGTAGAATCCCAAAAATCCTCCAAAAAGAAAAGATAAAGAGGCGCGATGCTTAACGTTGTCCATCAATTCAACTGCCAAACGATATGCAATTTTTGGATCAACAGGATCCACACAAGGTATATCCCTCTCCTCTTTTGTAATTAACGTAAATGAATTTTGTCTGGGATCAAAGTAAGCAAGACACCCACGTGAAGTTGCTCATGTCTGGGCTGCAGAAACTGGGACCAGCTACTGGTGAGGTAAGTCATGTGAGAATATGAGATCTATGGTTTCAGTTTCAGATCACCCAATCAATCACACTTTGGATTTGTATCTTCAAAATTATTTCTTCCCCCAATTACTGGCAAAAGAGTGATTGACTATACCGTCCATTGGGACATCAGAATTTGATCTTTGTCGTCAACTAATTAATTATTTGTCTCTACAGTCCACCTAACTCTTGTCATTCAATAATTAATTAAATATCAGTAGAACCTGATACAGAGATTCGTCACATATAGCATCATCATGATGAAAAAATTTGCGATTGATATAAATTGAACACTTGACTTATATTCATTAACGTGGAAAACAAAATGAGAAAGGGCCACCTAATCCTGGAAAAGTAGTAACCACAAACTGAGTTATCAAAAATACGAGTATACTTTTAATTTAAATGCTAAAAATTTGATTTTCTTTACTCACGAACCATTTAATTCATAACCAATCTAGTCAAAGTATGTCCCCAGTAAATAGTCTAATTAATTATAACGCAAGAAAATTGATTCAATGAATAGAGTTTTAGATTTACATAATAATTGATTCATTTATTATAATTGGAATTTTTAATTAAGAGGGTGGTCATATTTGGCAGCTGGACTGGGTGGAATTAAAAAAGAAAGAAAAGGATGGAATGGATACGCAGACAAACGGTAGCCATGTGGTCGTATAGTGAATTTGTCACTATTTTATTATCATTTATCAGCAATCAAACACGCAGATATTTCCAAAAAGAAAAACATGACTCTGACAATAAGAGCATCTGCTGAACATTCTCCACCATTTGATTTGCCAAATAATATGCAGTTTTTGGGTTTACACTACAGGAACCACAGACACATATCTAGCATTATTTGTTTAACAACAGCCTCAGAGAGTTTAAACATGAAGTTGTTTTCATGGTCATTTAGTTTTTCCAATATTTATCATTTTATCTTAAAACATTAATGTTGGCGTGAGTTGTT